ATCTTGATCAACAGGATTATACGAGAAGGTTTATTTCTTTCCCGTACAATTGGCGCCGTCTGTGGGAATAATAGATAGGACAAAACCTATTAAAACATAATTAAATAAATCATCAAAATAAATTTTGGATTCTATTTTTCTTTTTCAAATAAATTAAAATATAATTAAATAAATCATCATAATAAATTTTGGATTCTATTTTTCTTTTTCAAATAAATTAAAATATAATTAAATAAATCATCATAATAAATTTTGGATTCTATTTTTCTTTTTCAAATAAATTAAAATATAATTAAATAAATCATCATAATAAATTTTGGATTCTATTTTTCTTTTTCAAATAAATTAAAATATAATTAAATAAATGATCAAAATAAATTTTGGATTCTATTTTTCTTTTTCAAATAAATTAAAATATAATTAAATAAATCATCAAAATAAATTTTGGATTCTATTTTTCTTTTTCAAATAAATTAAAATATAATTAAATAAATCATCAAAATAAATTTTGGATTCTATTTTTCTTTTTCAAATAAATTAAAATATAATTAAATAAATCATCAAAATAAATTTTGGATCCTATTTTTCTCTTCCAAATAAATTAAAACATAATTAAATAAATCATCAAAATAAATAAGTCTAACATAGAGTATTTGACAAACTTACCGTTGCTGTGATCTATAAAATATACCAATCTTTTAATTTCACTATATCATTAGAATTTCTATTTTCTTTGTGAGCTTCACTGTATATTATCTTTTTCTCAGCATCAGTGTATATCATTACAATATATTTCACTGTCTAAGTTGGATGTTGTATCCTACTGAATTTTCTTTAAACTATGGACAATTTTGAAATGTTTGATAAGACATGGTAACCAAAACTGATTAAGATATGGTAATCAAAACTGAAATTCTTTTGAATATATATTTGAAAATTCTTTGGTAATTCTTTTATAACTGATTAAGACATGGTAATCAAAACTAAAAATTCTTTTGTAATTTAATACATGTGGATATATATAAGAACACAACATCAGTAAATTATGAATTGGATAATCAGCACATAACATTTATGAATTGTCAAATTTATGGATTGGATTATTAGAACATAATATCAGAACAGAACTTGTCAAGTACTTGGATAATCAACTTTAAGAATTGGCAAAATTATGAAGAGCACTAACAACAAACAAACACTGACAGCTTTCCTTGCGTAATGACCTCCCATTCCAAAAAATAACCAAAAGTACATGTTCGCGTCCACGTGATGAATTTAGTTTTTACTGTGAAGATGCCATATATGTTCTATTAAATCATTGCGGAGGGCATGATATGCATTTTTATCTCTAATACCTAAATAACGAGAGAGAAATCATTGGAAGTCATTGTTAGTACTACAGGAAAGTTCTATTGGTGAGTTGGTTGATGAAGTATCATAATTGAAATCAAGATGCTTATCTCTTTCATCTTCGACAATCATATTATGTAATATAACGCAACTCTTCATTATGTTCCCAATCATTTTTGGATCCCAAAAACGTAAGACACCACATATAATTGCAAATCGGGATTGAAGCACTCTGAATGCCTGCTATACATCCTTCCTTGCTAACTCTTGCATCATTGCAAAATGTTGCTTCTTTGCTCCTTGGAGAGAAGAGATTGTTTGAACTAGAGTTGCCCATTGAGGGTATATACCATCAGCAAGGTAGTAACCCAAATTATAACTGTGTCCATTAATAGTGTAATGGACAGGGGGAGCTTTACCTTGGGCAAGATCAGAAAACAAGGGCAATTGATCCAATACATTAAAGTCATTGTGTGATCTAGGCATTCCAAAAAATGCATGCCAAATCCACAAGTCATAAGAAACTACTGCTTCAAGAATGATGGTTGGCTTTTTTTGATGGCCTATGTATTGACCTTGCCATGTCTTTGGACAATTTTTTCACTCCCAATGCATGCAATCTAAACTTCCTAACATACCCGGAAACCCACGAACCTCCCCAGTAGCAAGTAACCTAGCAATATCAGTTAATGTTGGAGATCTCAGGTATTTTGGTCTAAAGATTTCAATTACTGAATTACAAAAGTGTTGCAAACTTTGAATTGCAATGCTTTCCCCAATACGTATATAATCATCAATTGCATTTGCTGCCACTCTATATGACAATATTCTCATTGCTGAAGTAATCTTTTGTAGGGGAGACAGTCCAAGAATATAAGCTGCATCTTGTTTTTGAACAAAATATGGATTGTATGCTTCAATAGTGTTCAAAATTCGCAGATACAGAGGACGACGCATTCGAAAATGTCTTCAAAATGTTGCAAGTGAATAAACTGGATTTGCTGCAAAATAATCAGTGAACAATCGCTCATGGCCCTTTCATCTATCATGACGTATGTACTTATGTCCTACAACAGAACCACCTCTTTTCTTTGATTGATCAGTTGATTACAGAATCTGAATCATACTTGCATTATTTATCTCATAAATCTCCAAAAGTGATCATTTTTTCATCATCAGAATCACTATCAGAGGATGAGGAAGAAGAAGAGGATGAAAATGAAGTGAACATGTAAGAATTTGAAATACTCATTATGCTCTGCTTTCAATTATGGTGCCTTTCAGATATAAAGTACCTCTTGTCTAGTATATGGTACATGGATTAATGTGTTTATATCAGTTCTTGGAAGGAAATTATTATTGGAGGTAACAAAAAATGAAAAATATTTAATGGAGGCAAAAAAAATGGGAAAACAGAAATGGAAGGGAAAAAAAAAAATTTCAATGCCTTGACCGATCGATCAGCCAGTCGTCCCACCGGATGTTTCCACTTTTTGATGCAAGCTACAGCGCAATCATTAGAGCGGCTCATATCAGATTTGAAGAAATTATCTTTTTTTTATTCAGATTTGGTGAAAAAATTGGTGAATCGTTGGAGATGCTCTTATAAAACCAAAAAAAAAAAAAAAAAAAACTTTCACCAAATTATTTGATTAAAGTACCTCCACTAACAAAAAAAAAAAAAAAAAAAATATTCACCAAACCTAATACTAATTCCCTTTTAAAAAAAATCAATTCTCAAAACATTCTTTTTGTAATTAATCATAATTATAAAAAATAAAAAATAAAAAAATTTGTTGTCGTCGTTGCCGTGTACAGATATCTGGTTGGTCTCCCAGCAAAGGGTTCAAGTTTTATAATCATATATATAATCAGCTAAAAAAAATGAAGGACAATAATGATAGAGACCACTAATTTTGGAGCTCTAAAAGATTACTAATGACATGACACTCAATAAAAAAAGAAAAAAATATAATACCAAGATCAAAACATCAAATCATTTCTGATAGGACCCACTGCCACATCATTAGTGATAGCACTAATTAGTGCTCACACTCATTTTCCAATAAAGGAAAGCAACAAAGAAAAATGTTTCTCAAAATCGTTGAAGACCTCCTCGGTAAATTCTCCCCTTTTCGTACTCTTATGGCTTTTTTGCCAGAAGTCTCCGTCCAAATGTCAAAACCCTACTCAAAATGCACCATTCCTAGATCCTCTCACCCAACCCAACACCCAAATGCTTCTGAATAGTTCTAGATTAGATTTATCTCAACTCTCTCTCTCTCTCTCTCTCTCTCTCTCTCTCTTGTTTTCAATGGCTTCCTCAGTCTCACACCCATCACCACTTCTCACATTGTCTCATCCCAAACGCTCAAATAATCTAATTTCTTCTTCTTCACTAGTGTTTCCCAACAAGTTTTTACACTTGCAATCAAACCCATCATCTCTAACATTTCAATCCCAATCTTTTCCCCATCTGGGTCATCTTCTAACCGCTCAAACCCCTCTTTTTTCCACTCCAACCACAGCTTCTTCAGATGGGTCGTCTCTTGATATGATTGAAGAGATTGAGACTTTGTCTTTGTCGTCTGAGGAGCAACCTGTCAAATTCCTCTTCTGGGTCTTGGTCTGGACATCCTTGTCTCTTGCTTGGTTTGCTGCTTCTGGGGATGCTAATGCTGCTGCTGCTGCTGACTCCATTAGAGCCTCCAGCTTCGGTCTCCAGATTGCCGATGCCTTGCGGAGCTTGGGTTGGCCTGATGGGGCTGTTGTGTTTGCCTTAGCTACACTTCCTATTATTGAGCTTCGTGGTGCTATTCCTGTTGGTTACTGGTTGCAACTCAAGCCTACACTCCTCACTGTCCTCTCTGTTCTTGGGTTAGTCTTATTTTTCTCTTAAAGATTCAAACTTCATTCCAATTTGCATTTGCTGATGATTCTCAATATGGGTTATTCTAATTTGCTGAATTTAAGAAATGGGTCGTGTTAGGACTATGGGACACTAGAAATCAATTCCACACAATAACACAATAATATTTACGTGGTTCGGCAATTGCCTACGTCCATGGAGAAATATCACTATAGAATTATCCCGGAGGGAGATTACAGAACCCACATCTCACAACTCTCTATAGAACTCTCTCAATCACATATTATACTCTCCTCTGTGTATTCTCAGTGTGCTCAGTGCATTGTGTATCACTCCCATATCTCTCTTCAACCCCTCCTCACTCATCTCTATTTATAACCAAGAGAAGAGGAGTAGGTGAAGTGACAGCCATGAGTGGCTTGGTTGTGCCACCTGCACCATCTACCTTTGGTGAGTTGGGATTGTCCCACCAGCTTCCTTTACCACATGGTGCCACCCATACCATATGGACAGTGGGCTCCTTACCATGTGGGTTGGGTAGTGGATGGAGCTAACAGGTCGTCCCATTTTTTTGATGAAATTGTAATCATTAGTTTGCTTTTCCTTGTTACCTTTTATCCATTTGATACAAATACGTGTGCCAGTAGTGATTTTTTAAATAAATGGACACCTCAATTTGCCATTTTTTTTTTAATTTCCAGTTATGTATTTGTGTTATGATATAATTACATAAACGAGTGCTTCTACTTTCTGAGGCCATCTCCAATCACTCCAGTGGAAAAACATCAATTTTTACTCTGCTTCTTTTTTAAAAGATGCCCATTATATTCCATGAATGGCAGTTCGGTAAATAATGAAACTGCAAATGAAGCAAATATGGCCTTTGGATATTTGCGTCAAGATTTGAATCTCTCTTCATTTGGGTAAAAATATTGGTATAACTCAATTTGATATGAGTTTGAGTCACGGAGTGGAGAAGGTTTTGGTGTATTTTTTACTCAAATTGAAGTCTAAAAAGTTACTAAATTAGTTAAAAAGTCAACAACCCATACTAAAAAGTCAAAGATTTTCTTTTCTCTATACTTTTTGCACATCTTTTCGTAAAAAGCCAAAAAGTCATCCCAAACATACTAGTTTTTTTTAGCTCATATTTTAACCAAATAGCCAAAAAGTTACTAAATTAGCCTGTTCCCAAACGAGGCCTGAGTCAACAATTGGGCAAGGATTAGAGATGCCCTACCTTGCTTTCTTCAATCACCTTGCCTCTTCCATCTCCTAAACCTACTAAATAAGTATTAAAGGTACAAGCCACACGATTCAATATAGTGGCGGAGCTAGGATTTTGACCTAGGTGGGACACCATTAGAGTAAAAGGTCATGTCAAAGGGAAGGTGTGTCCCGCCCCTAACACACTTCTCCCCCAAACCCAACCTTGGTCCTGACTCGGATTGTGATGGTTGTCCCTCATCCCCTCTGCATCCCGCCCCAAATAGCTTGAGAGAAGAAATACAGTGAGTAATTTCATGTGTATTTCATTATTGTGTCATTTCTTTAAACAATAAGTAAACATGTTGCATACTTGACTCACAAATTCCTCATTTACAGTAAGAATAAAAAAAGAGAATTTATAGAAAAATAAACATTTAAAATGAGCAAAATGCAGGCACTCTTTTTAAATAAATAAAAAGAGAAGGGGCCAATAATATTTTAGAATGGAAAATTAAAGATCTATGTGAAAATATATAGTTTAAACTGTAATTTTCACAAAATTGAGGAGGGCAGATGCCGGCCCCTCGTGGGCATGTGCTGGGTCCTCTATTGTTCATCATTGCTGATTTGCTATCTGTGTGGTAAATTATTCAAAATGCTGTGCTTAATTTTTTTGCAATGCTTCTGTTTTGATGAACTTGAACATAACTAATTTCGGGGCCACAACTGTAGGAACATGGTTCCTGTGCCCTTCATCATACTCTATTTGAAGAGATTTGCAACTTTCCTTGCCGGGAGGAACCAGTCAGCGTCTAAGTTGCTCGACTTGTTATTCAAGAGGGCCAAAGAAAAAGCTGCTCCTGTGGAGGAGTTTCAATGGCTCGGTCTGATGCTGTTTGTGGCTGTGCCATTCCCAGGAACCGGGGCATGGACAGGTGCCTTCATAGCTGCAATTCTTGATATGCCTTTCTGGTCTGCCATGTCAGCAAACTTCTTTGGCGTGGTGTTGGCTGGGCTTCTGGTGAACTTGCTGGTGAACCTGGGCCTAAAATATGCTATTGTAACTGGTATGATTCTGTTCTTTGTTTCCACTTTCATGTGGAGCATCCTTCGAAATCTTAAAAAATCTCTGGGCTCGTCAAACTGATAAATAATTGCACTAAACAATATTTTGGTTATAGTGAATAATGGTTACTAAAGGAGAAGTTTGTATGTGTAAGGGAGAGTATTGAAATAATTCTTCCGAAATGATAACAGTTATTATTGTGTAAGATAACTGCAATGATCAGAAAACTAGGTGCTATCCTTTCCATCGGGGTTTTTTTTCCTTCTTCGTGTGTCTCTGTATGTTTTTCTTTTCCAGTGTTGTTAATAGTCTGATGCTTGTAATTGTAAATTGGAGGAGGCTGTCCTAGTTTGCAGTTGAATTTTGAAGCAGCGTTTTTTTTTTACTAGGAAATTTAGCTTGTCTGATTGCCTATTTGTGGAGGAATATGCACCTGCAGGTTTTTTTATGAATCTGGAAAACAAAACGTACACATAATTGTCTTATTTTTCCTTGTTGGAAACTAAATTATTCTTTTTACAGTGTGTCGTATATTTAGTTCTAGAGAAAAGAGTGAGACCCCCACCAATCCCAGTGAATGCTGATTGATCCAATTTTTTTTTTTTTTTTTTTTTTGTCCTCCTCTTGTTGCTCCCCACGGATTTATCCAATTTTTTTTTTTTTGTCCTCCTCTTGTTGCTCCCCACGAGTATGTGGTGGTGGTGGGGGTCACCCCCAAGTGGGGGTCTGGATCATCTCTGTTAGTTCTATAGCTGGAGAACAAGAAAGAAATTTATACCATGATGGTTATTTATTCATATTAGCAAAACTGAATTAGTCTGGACATTGTAATAGTCCTTAGTTGACAAGAGGATAGTTACTTAGAGGGGGTTATCCAGAGTGTAACAGCTATAAAATGAGAATTCAGTTTCAGAAATCTTCTCTCGGATTCTTTAGGTTTACATGAAGAGCTCTTTCATTCTCAAGATCAACATTCAGATTCTTCTTATTTCTTCATTAATCTTCTATGATAAGAACATCAAATCTGTAAACTTCTTCAATTCACAGTACTCCATCATTGCGGAATTGTACTTTGTTTCATAGATCATTCTGATCTAAAGCTTATTTAGTATGAACAAGAAGTATTTAGTTTCCATACATAGATGAAAAGGAGACATACTGAACTACTTGGTCAGCTTTCAAGTAGTAATATATAGGGACAGATTGCTTATGACAGAATCATGTTTGGTTCATGTGCCATCTTTGGGTTTTAAGAACAGATTAATTTGTACCGAAACTAGATTTGATATTTTTGGAGCCCAAACACCAAAACTTGATTGATTTAATTTTGATATTTTGTAAGGAGAATCGTTGTTGATTGGATTGGCACATTTGGGCTTTGAGAATGATGATCTATATCACAACTAAAACAGAATTGAGTGCTAATTCCTCTGATAAGTGTGGAAGCATACATGAATCGCTTATATGTGGATGTTGCTCAGGAGACAACTGTTGTCATGAATGTATTGGTTTCTCGAATGCAATCTGACTAATTATACTTCTCTGGATGCGAATTGTGATGTTTGGGGGAGAAGAAAATGTGAAAGTAACATGTCACACTGAATGTAAAAAGGAAAATTCAAGAGTTATCTGGATAGGCAGATGGCAACAATACCAAGGGAAATGAAATTTATGCTAGAATCTTGATATATTGTTTCAGATTACTTCCTGGCTCCTTAGTCATCTAAAATTTATGTGAGTCTCCCTATTTAGGTTGTTTAGCATGAATAGGGTTTGGTTTCGCAAAATAAGAATGTGCTTAAGAGGATTTTTGCTGAATGTAATATGTTAGCCTGCTTCCAATCCTTTGGTGGTGTTGTCAAGTCTTTCACCAGATCTGGGGTTGCTGTTGTGCAGTCCCTGTGGGCTTCTTTCGGGTTTATTTTGATGATTTAAATCGCTTATATTGTACGGTTTATAAAATAAATATTCTATGAAAAAAATTAAATTGATCGGACATGTATAGTCATATGATTAGGTCCCAATTGTTTTTAAAAAATATATAGTCTATTATCAAAATATGTTTATCATTCATTTTTTAAACAACAAATTTAACCTTAATAAAATGGTTTGGACCATCGAAATAAGTTGACAAACCCACCTACAATGAAAGGCACAACAACAACCCCCTCTCTTTTGTCTTTTACCTCATATATTTCAAAAGTGACGTGTACGGTGTAGATTGAAAATTGATATGACAAGGGTCACACAATAAAAGTAATCGATAGATGTACTTTTTTGAGTATTTTTGTTGGAATTTTTATTTTTATTATTTTTTGTGAACTATAGTGCTGTATAATCACCAAAAAAACAGAAGAAAAAAAAAAAAGTGGTTAAAATATTATTTGTTAATATCCATACAAAATATACTTGCATAAATAACATTAAATTCATATATTAAAATTTAGTTACATAGATTAGTATTATAAGAATTTTAAAATGTAAAAATTTGATCTTGAAGCTTTATAAATTAGTTATATAGATTAGTATTATAAGAATTTCAAAATGTAAAAATTTGATCTTGAAGCTTTATAAATTTAGAAAAATTCAATTTACAAGAAGAAAAAAAAAAAAAGCACTCAATTTAAACACTCAATTTAAAAAAGAAGATAAGAAAAATATCAAACGAAATCTAAAATTATAATACCAAATAAAAATTGAATAAACTATAACATAGAAAATTATTAATTAAATTTACATAATTTGTTTGGGTTCTTTGGTTCTTAGATTAGGTAAGGGAAATCCTTGTTTTTTTAGATCTACACTATAAAAAAATCGTAATCATTACATTTTAATTCAAATTTTGAAATGTTTTTCCATCATTATCCTTCTTTTGAATTTTAACATGTGTTTATAATGATTTATACCGGACAATTATGAAAATCTAACAAAATTTTAGGATAGAAAAGTGGACAAATAAAATGGGACAGAGTTTTATCGAAACAAGTAATTACTTTTAAACTATGACGATTATATAGAAAACCAAATTGATAAAGAAAAAAAAAAAGACCATTTAACCCGAGCTTTTCTCTAAATATAACTTTGACATCATGTTTATTTTTTACTCCACTATCAAATAAAAATTAAATTCAGTTAGATTGCGATTTTTATTAAGATTTCAACTTAATATTGTCTCTACCTAGTCAAAACCATGAGTTTGCCCTTGTTTGTTGTTTTAACAATAATTTTCTTGTCATAAACTTTTTTTTTTCCCCCTTTTTAATTCATGGAGGCCAACCCATCTCGTAAAAAAAAAAAAAAAAAAAAAAAAGTCAAGGTGGCCAAAAAAACATTTTTCTGAAACTGGAAAACTTGTTGATTCTAAATGGACATCTTCAATGGCCAATATGAGGGTTATTATCGCTAAAAAATAGTGTGATTTATAAACTTTTCATTTTCAATGACTAGTTAAAAGGTTTGCTATATTTTAGCAATGCCCTATATTTTGTGTCGAATTTAGTAAACAAATAACTCAACTAAATCCAAAAATGATCCCAATAAAGAAAAAGGAAAAAAAGTAGAGATTAAAAAAAAAAATCTAGATCAAAAAATTTCATAATAAACTTTTAAACAAATTTCATAGCACTTGCATAAAAAAAATTAAGATTGATATTTGCAAAACAAATAGATATACAAAAATCAAGCATTGAAATAGAACCTTATAATTTCACGTATGGAACAGATCAAACACAAGAATCATTGAAAAAAAATAAACGATCAAACACAAGAATGTGTTAGTGAAATTTATGTTAAAGCCTAATCGATATAAACTTAACAACAAATTCACTGAACAATCAAAAGAGACCAAGCATGTGTATTGGTTCAATGTCTTGAAAGATTCAAGAATTTCTTTGGAACAATCGACAATCAAAGAAAAGTAAACAAAGAAAATTTCTATTGAAATCTCCAAAGGTTACAAACACTATAACATTTTCTTAGTTTAGTGACATTTGAATATACCAAAAAACTATTATTCTAATGACATTTTTTAGTCTTGTGGCATGTTAAACAAGTGTAATTTATACCTGTGCTACGGTAGATACTAGTCGCACTTCAGTGACACTTGCAAGTGCCACTACACCATCATGGCTAAAGATTTTCAATGACACTTTGATGTCATGTTAGACACTATTTGTGACACTATCAAGCGCCCGATTTAGTGGCATTGCTGTGACACTTGTAAGTGCCATTAGACCATCAAGGCTAAAGACTTTTAACGACACTTTAATGTCATGGTAAATACTATTCGTGATGCTATCAAGTGCCATTAAAGAAAACTTACAATCTAAAAACTATCACTATATAGATTTTTAATGGCGCTTGTTATGCCACAATTGATATTTTCAACAACTTCATAAATGCCACTAAATCTAATTCATTTGTGTCATTAAATGGATATAAGTGACATTAGAGCTTATTTTAGTGATACTTTGCGATGCTACTACCACTACTACAAAATGCTACCAATATGTTATTTTCATTGACACTTTCAAAAGCCACAACTAAGCATGCATAAGTGCCTGTAAAAATTGAATCGATTTTATAAACAATTAAATATTAATTGCCACATCCTATATTAATTTGACATCCATTCGTTTTGTAATATTTTCATAATAATAAACAAATATTACCACAATAGAATCATCACATCAAAAACAAAAAAAAATTCAAACCACAATCAATTTTTTTTCTAAAAATATAAATTTATTTATATAGCAATAAAAATCATAATCAAAATTATAAAATATTCTACCACATTAACAAAGTTAAAGCAAAAAAAAATTAAAAAAAAAAATTATTCCAACCATAAGTTCTAAAAAGCCATAGTGATATCCATCTTCTTGAGAGATAAATTAACAAAACAAATTCAGTTCCTAAGTTCTCAACCTCACTTGTATAAATATTCTCGGCTAGTATCCATAACTTGCGAAATCTGCATCCAAAAGATAAACATACAAACGTAATTGAAACTATATTAAGTTAATATAAATTTGTTAATGAAATTAGTATTTACGAAAGAAATCTACCACAAATGGAGCAGACCAAGCAACATGAGCTCCAATAGCTTGTCCAATTGTTTTGACAAGTCCAAATGATCGGATCAAGCTCTCATTAGGTTTGACTAGCACTTGAACATGTACCTCCCGATAGTCAGGTCTTAGTTCTTCCCCTTCTACCTCTTTAGATGGGTCTGTACTTTTAAGTACTTCGATTACAACTGTTTCTATTGGCCTAATGATACTTTTTAGAACAACTATATCTCCCACCTGTAAATCAAACTTTTACTACTTAAGTAATTATATATTTACAATTAATAAATAATATTTAAAATTAAACTAGTACAAAGTG